TGTGTGTGTGTGTGTGTGTGTGTGTGTGTGTGTGTGTGTGTGTGTGTGTGTGTGTGTGTGTTTTGGAACTGAGACTTGAACTTGGGGCTTACACATTGTCACTTGACTTGTTTGATCAAGGCTATACTACTTGAGCCACCACTCCACTTCTGGCTTTTTGGTGGTTAATTGGAGATGCGAGACTTGTTTATACAGGTTGGCTTTGAACTGCAAACTTCATATCTCAGCCTACTGAGTACCCAGTATAACAGATATGAGCCACCAGCACCCAGCTAGGTGAGATTTTTAAAAGCATTTACTCAATGCCTAATCACAGATGCTCATATTTTCTGCTCAATAAAAGTTATGTATCATTACTGCAGTGACCTCATTTTGGAAATCATAAATGCATATCCTACTTAGCAGCATTATGTTATATATAGGGCATTTATCCTCTCCTCGGTGTTAGGAACAGGTTGTATAAAACACTCAGAAGTGTATTCATGAAGGTAGGCTGGTGCAAAGTTCAAGACTGCTATGCTGGGCTTTCTGTAGACTTTAGCTTTGTTGACATTGGAAAATACTCCATCGGCTACATTTCTTCTCTCATAAGTACTTGCCCAGCACCTTTCTGTGTAATATGCTCTAGGGTGGCAGAACTGAGTGCCAATTTTAAGCTCTAAATCAATGGAGCAATCTGTTTCATCAGATTTATCCTCTTCCCCAGCCACAATATTGACTTACTGGCAATTTAGAATTACCCACACGTTGAAGATTCTGGAAGACTTTCTTAGAAACTTCCAGGGATACTGACAGCCAATGACTTAAAAGCCTGTCTCAAAATACTAGCAGTGTTGTCTGGTATCAGATTCCACATCTCTAGGCATAGTCCCAAGCTCAGGCATGTAATATTAAACAGAACATCAGCAGCAATACTGCCCATCTTATTCCACTGATAATGGTCTCTGAACAAAAAAAAGAGCACCCATGAAGCAATAACAAAATTACCTTAGATGCTGAACCAAAGCCAACTTTTCAAACTAATCTCATGATAGAGATCAAGAACAGTAGACTTCTTGGATGTGCGCTGTGATTTAACACCTTCTAGAAGCTTATATTTTGGTTTGGGGCTTAATGTTCCCTTTTCCTTTACCTGAGAGTGGGAATGAATGAGTCAGAAAGAACATTGCCCAATCACATTACTGCATGTGGCTTTCAAGAACTATCTGACAAAATATCCAGTCTTTATCAAAGAAAAAAGCTCAATAATACCTAAAGAAATCCTGTGATCTCCCTTGGTACTGAAGACTGGTACTCGGAGAAGAGCCTTACTTGCTGATCTATGAACAACAATGGCCTTTTGGGAAGTATCCAATCTCTATCATCTCTATTATTTTTTTTTTCCTTTAGTGCTGGTAATTGAACCCAAGACGCACATATGCTAGGCAAACACTCTACTACTAAACTACATCCTTAACCCTTATCTCTCATTTTGATACCACCATCACCATATGGCATTCGGGTGTAGAACCACAAACATCCAGGCAAGTCAATATTGCTCTGGTATCCATGAGGGGATAGAAAAATTCAAGATGGAACTTGTCATTACATTTGCTTGTTAAGAGCAAATGTTTGAAAATTGTGTATGGAGTTGGATGAGTCTCTGGGATCCCTCAATATGGAACCTGATCTGTGTTCCCACCTGGAGATGTACTGAAATGATCTTCATTCACTGGGTGCTTTCTCCTAAAGAGATGTAAGGTGCTTTGTTAAATTGGGTCACGTTCAAGCTGAGGCAATCCCCTTAAGTCAAGGTTCACATTGAATAGTGTGAGCCATAAAATAAGACAAAATAGTACCTGAGGACAGAAAGGAGCCTCCAGACACTTTGCAATATCTCCAGCATTTCTTGATACCCCACCTCAAGAACCCATTGGCCTGGGAAGGGATGTGAAGGGTAAACAAAGGAGGAGGATGCAATGCTTGGTAAGAAATGTAAGCATTATCCTGCCCATGCAATTGTAACCCCTCTGTACAGTATGTTCACAAATAAAATTAAATTAAATTAAAAAAAAGAACCCATTGGCTAAGCATATGAAGTCCCCCTATGTTCTACGCCCCCCCAGCTTTACCCCAGAAACCACTGATTGAGAAGACTCCTGTATCTCTACTATCAAGAAGACTTGTTGCATTTTACCTTCTGTAGTTTATAATGTAAAAGCAAATCCTTGTTTTCTAAGTATTAGTCTAAGATACATTAGTCAGTGCTTTTCAGTGAGGTTTTTCTACCAGTCCCACTGAGAATGAGTGCAGTAAACTTAATGGCTTTTTATTGGCCCATTGTAGGACTTTAAGTAGGAAATAAAAGGGGGAAAAAAGCTAAAAATTATTGTGTTAGACTAATAAGGAGAAATGTTATTATATTGATGGTATTTAGATGGGCAACTTATATTTTTAAAAAATAAAGGAAATAGATCATTGACAAGGACTAGCTCATGCTCAGATGTGATATAGCAGACTTTTCTGTTGAATGAATGGTTTGGGTCAATTTGCTCCTTCTGTTCCTGAGAGTTATTTCATTTTACTCCCCTCCCTCCCCCTGCCAGGTTCCTGAAGCACATATTGCCTTTGACAACGAGAGCAATCTGAGCTGGATCTTCTTTGGCTTTAGGGTCTTTTTGGAATGTCAGTGTTTTGACGGATAAATCCCGCTGGCATGGGTCATGGGTGTAGAGTTCAGGTGTGAGGACAAGGCCTCCTTCTTTTGATAAAAGTTTTACACATGCCTCAAGGCATCTTCTAAATCTATCAAAGTATCACGCCCTAACATTGAAACATGAGTGTTTAGACACATCTAAAAGCTTCCAAATTCAGTAAGCATAGGAAGACTAGAGGGTGAAATTAGAAATTAGCTCCACTTTTAACCAGTCTGATCTAAGCTCTCTACCCCTTGGCACGTGCCCCTTTCTGACTCACGCATTCACAATATAGTTGGGGATAACGAGATCTTGAAATACGAAATTTTCTACCAACATCTCTGTTTACTTTTCATCCACAGGTGAAGTCATTCCAATTGTAGATCCATCAGAATTTACATTATAATGGTACCAACTAATTTCATTTTTATTTTTAGCTAAATACCTACTAAAGCAATAGTTTCTGATGAATGACTTTTTAAGGGGGTCTGTTCACCAACACTGCCTTATGTTCTGGATATTATTCATAATAGAACCCAAATTTAAATGTAAGAACCTTTTTCATTTGCCCTTTGCACAGCAACAGGAGTCTACATGGAAAGCCAAACTGGTTCACATAAAGGATGCATACACTTCTATGGAGATTGCCTAAGAGATGACAGATATCTAAATTACTGGTGCACAAGAGAAAAGCATGAACACGAACCAAATATTGTGGCTGCTTTGCTCAAGCTCTCCTAAGCGTGATAGCAGGGACAGAACTCTATACACACCTCACAGCAGTTCACAGTAAATCCTGTCGGTCTCTTTGGATTTGATTCTCACTATAAAATAGACTAAGCATGATAGAAGAACAAATCTGAGTGGGCGTTACTCAAGACTGAATTCAACACTTAATTTTTTGACAGTTCAAGTGATTATTATTCTTACTATTCTTGCACTACAGATGTTTCCATAAGTAACTACAGAGATCAATAATATCACATCTCATGCTTTCATAAATCCATACCATAAAGCTAGGTAAAATTTCAGATAGGTCTCTGAATAGAAAAATGTTCCGTTTTCATGTTTAATAAAGCAGGGCTAAGGAACAGGCAAAAATGCAACATGACAGATATTTACAAGAGAGTCTGATTGCAAATGTGCAGGTGTGGTTTCCTCCTGCACACAGATAGTGCAGCGCATGGGAAAGTTACATAGTGCTGGAGAACCAAATGCTCATGTAAACAAGATTCCCACTTAAGCCTTATGTCAAGTGCTTAGTACAGAGAGGTTTCTATCATCACAAGCTTAATGCAAATTAAATTTAAAGCATCACCACAACCTCTTCAAGCAACTTGGGGGAGGGAGGCAGAAATCTTGTCATTTCTTTCATCCAATGTGCTCACATTTCCATTTAACATATTCCCACAGCCAGTCTGCCTAATTCGGTCCACTCTATTCATATGAATGTATGGAAAATCTGCCAGCCCACAAATATCCTTTATACACAAAACCTACATTGACTTCTATTCAGCAACCAGCTACATAAACAACCCTTTTGAATGATCTTGGAAGTTATGGTAATGCTACATTAGCACTTATTTCTCTGGATACATATTTAAACAGTCATTTTTTTTCTCGGCTAGTGATTACCTGGTAATGCTGACTCAATCTGAAAAGTATATTTCTAGGACAGCTTCAGGAAATCTGGTGAGAGTTCCCCTTGGTGCAGCAAGCATTTCTCACAGCCTCAGGCTCATGAATGGTTTACCTGAGATCTTGAAATAAGGAAACACACACAAATAACATCAGACAAGTCAGAACTTCCCTAACAGGATATGGTTATCAAATCAGAAGAAAGCTTGCAACAGAACACAATAGAGGTTCAGGGCCAACTTGGAATAGATTGATGATAGATAGATAGATAGATAGATAGATAGATAGATAGATAGATAGATAGATTAGATAGGAGTATCAGCAACTTTTATGTTGCTTAAATATGGAAACTCTTAACTATCTTAAGAAATTTGGAAGGGCTGGGATGTAGCTCAGTGGCAAAGCGCTTGCCTAGCAAGTGCAACGTCCTGGGTTCGATCCCCAGTACCAAAAAAGAAAAGACAAAACAAAAAACAAAAAAAAAGAAATTTGGAGACAATCAGGTAACTGATCTCATTAAGTTGTTTACTGAGCGATTAGTTTTGGAAGGCCATCCACGAGTTGATTTAAAAAACAAAAACAAAAACAAAAATAGTCAGATATCCTTCATTTGTTTTTTTAAATACCAGATTTAAAGTTCTCCCTAAAGTAACAAAGCAACAGTTAACTCAAAACAGAGGGGCTCGTTTTTTTCCTCTGGCGCATGCACACACATACACCTCCCCAACACACACAACTCCCTCTCCTCTTCATCCCGACTTTCTCACAGGATTTGAAACCGCCCATTGCCACTTCATATTTCAAGACAGTATTGTTTTTTAAGGCAGTTTCTTTAACGGCCACCCTTTCTGCATGGATATATGCTTAGGGATCTCATCATCTTCTATATTTAGAGAGATGAGCTTTCCAAAGACAAGATGGGCAGCCAATAAGAAGGATCCCATTAAAAAAAAAAAAAAGAGGTGAGTTACTATGGTTACTTTTCAGGAGATTGAGTAGCCGTGAGCGGCTGGCCAAATGGACCTTCTCCAGATGAGGACCTGAAAGAACGGAGCTCTCCCGACTCCGGTGGGTTCTGTTTGTTAGAGAATTACACGGTCATTTTTAGCCTGAACCACGAGCTTCCTGAGGCGCCTGGCTGCCTGCAGCTCCCCCTGCCCGGCCCAGACCGCCAAGGCGAAGGAAAACAAAAAATACAAAGCCAAAAAGCAAGGGCTGAAAACTTCTGAACATGAACCCAACAGTGATCATCACGGGGAAATCCCCAAGCGCCATGCCCAAGATTTTTCTCTCTCTCTCTCTCTCTTAATAAATCCGATCAGGTTATTATTTGGGATCCGTAGCTGGCCACGGGGAGCAGGGGGGAGAATCCCGGACGGGAGGAGGGGGGTGGTGTCACAGAGTAAGGGACGGGGTCCCAGCTGGGCCGGTCCAGCCCTTACCTTGCCCCCGAAGATCAACTCACCCGGAGATCCCTCGCTCGCGCCCGCACCTGTTTTGGAGAGGCTGGAGGGGGGGGGGGGGTCCGGTTCCTGCGGGCGGGCGGACGGGCGCTCACGGCGACGGTGGCGGAGGTGACGGCGGCGGCAGCGGTAACTGCAGCTGGGCGGACGGGCGGACCGGCGGCCCTGGCTCCGGCAGGTCCGTCCCTGCGTCTCTGAAGCGCCTCTCGCTCTGGGTTCAGAACGCGAGGCGGGCGCGCGGCTCCTCTCGGCTCGCATTGGACCAGCGGGAGCAGATGTTGCCCGGTTGCTAGGAGCGTTGCTAGGAGGCGATGACGCCCCATCCACCGGGCTTCCGAGCAACTTTTCCTGCAGGTCGCGTGCGTGCGTGCGCCGGCGATGGGGCTGCTCAGAGCCCCAAGGTCCAGAGGCTTGGAACCTGGAGGGGAGCCCAACAAAGAGATCCAAACCCAGGGGTCCCCGCTGCGCTCGCCTAAACGTGGGGCTTGGGAGAATGTGCTGGGCGTGGGAGCCCCCAGCCTGGGTTGCATCTTCAGGGAAGGGTCAGGAAAGGTGGAGATTGGATCTGGACGCCCATAAAAGGACCGGCGCTTTGGGGAGATAGAGGAAGCAGCAGAACTTGTGCGTTGCCTTTGCGACTAGAAGACTTCCTCGGAGATGCAATTTGCCTTGGAGCAGGACCCTGGGAAGCAAAGAGCCAGAGAAGAATGCGTGTGACCCGAGTGGGGATCAAGATGGCCTGCACTAGATCTTTTGATCTCCCGCTCCGTTCACCTCTGTGTCTGCAGGTTTGAGTGGTGGATAGACTTGGAGGAGGGAAATACTAACTGATCCATAAAAATCAGCTCAGAGACAACTCGTTTTGAGGCTGTGTTTGGCAGCATAATGGCATGTTGCCAAAGACTTCAGAAAAAAAAAAAGTTCCCATGGTTTAAAATACTTGCTTCACACAGTTACAAAGACTTCATTTTGATCCAAGAGCTAAAATAAAAACTCAGGCTAATATGAAATTTCCTTAAATAAAGAATTGCACAAGAGAAAAGATACTTTTTTTTTACAAAGGAATCTGGGAAAGGCAGGCATTTTCAGCCATTAATAATTTAGAATACGTTAGTCCAAAGGTGTAATACACTTAGGTCACTAGAGCTTTGTTTTTAGTTTAAAAAATTATTGCTAGCCTGGAGCTGGTGGCCCATGTCTATAATCCTAGCTACTCGGGAGGCTGAGATCTGAGGACCACAGTGTGAAGCCAGCCTGGGCAGGAAAGTCCATGAGACTCTTATCTCCAATAAACTACTGAAAAAAGCCAGAAGTGGCACTGTGGCTCAAGTGGTAGAGTGCTAGCCTTGAACAAAAGAAGCTCAGGGACAAAATCCAGACCCAGAGTTTAAGCCCCAGGACAGGCAAAAATGAATAAATCCATAAAAAAAAATCATTGCTTCTGTTTGTTGTGAAACAACAGAGAGAGATGGTTAGAACATTAAAATTAGGGAAATGAGTAGCCAGTAAGAACATTCAAGAAGTAAAAACATGAAATGCCTAGTAGAGAAATTCTACCCAAAGATCTCTGGGGGAAAGTTTCTCTGAAGAAGGCACTTCCCTCAATCCCTAAAGAATTGTATAAGGTTTGTTCCTGTGGCTCTCCTCCTGGACAGAAGAGGGGATACATAAAAGGGCTACATACAATGGCCCAACTCCTCTTCGGACCATCTAGTACAATTACCTGTGGAGGTAATTGTTGCTTAGCCCTAAGGTGAAAAATAAAACCCTGCTAACCCACGTATCAAACCACCTGAAGCAGTAAAGAAGCCATAAGAAGCCAGTCTGGGCTGAAGAGCTGCTGATTGGGTTTCAGCTGTCAGATCTGAAAGAAGGCCTGGAGACAGGTATGCCTCAGATCCAGGAGATGACCACAGCTAGCTCCATACCACTGCTGACTTGCTTAGTCACAGCAGGGAGAGCGTGGGGAGGGAGCTGTCTCTCAGAGTCTTGCCCTCTGGTCTTCATCACCTCCAGTGTCTCCTCCAGGCATGCTTGACTCCTCAGCTTCCTTGAATGGGGAAGGTTCTGGCTGGCTCAGGTATTTAGTACATGCAGTTTCTTCCTCTTGATGTGACTCCCTTTCACCTGGCTTACTCCTACTCAGCCTTCAGCTCTCAGCTGAAATACCACTTCCTTCTCTTGGCTTCCCCTGACAGCCTCCCACTAACAACATTATCCATAATTGCAGCCCCAAGTTGCACTACCAATCCCATTTCACGAGATGTATCTTGCCAGACTCAAAGCTACTTCTACCTGGTTAATGCTGTGCCCACAATCTGTCCAGAGGAGCCCAGAGCTCATGAGAATGGATTGGTCCATCCTGCCTGGACTGAGGTCCTGCTTTTCCATTGGCCATGCAGCTCCCCATTGGTAAACTCATAAAAACCATGAGGACAGACACTAGCTGCTAGTTGCTTTAGAACTTAAGCAACAAATGAGCTTGCCATTAGCAAGCCTCCTGGAAATAATTACCCCAACCCCAGCATTGGAAATAAGGTAACTTTAAAAAGAGAGATGTGTGTGTGTGTGTGTACAAACTATCACTGTGTTAGATACTACCTAGAGAATTTTTGCCAATTCTGTTTCATATCCTTAGGCATATTCTTAGTCAGAGCCACATGACCAGTGGGGTTTTAGCAGGAGTGAAGATCACCACCTCTAGGCCTGGTCTCCAGATCCAAAGTTGGAATTCTCATGCCTCTCTTCCTCACCTATCTGCATGGCAATATATGTTCCTTCAGAGCCAACAAGAAATCCAATAGCTGATTGATAAGAGGAGCCTCAATCCCCAAGATGCTGCTAGAAAGTAAGCTGCAAGGACAAAAACAGTCCAAATTACAGAGTAAGAAATCTTTCTTCTGCAATGATAGCAATACAGAGGATTGCCAAATATAACAGGTTGCATTGATCACTTACACAGCATGTAAAAGTAGAAGATAGATAGATAGATAGATAGATAGATAGATAGATAGATAGATAGATAGAACCGGAAATATCTCAAATCTTCCATATTCTTTCTTGTTGGGGGATGTCAACCGTGTTTTATTGCTTTCAAGGTATGAAGGTGTTGGGCTCCAGTTGTCCAGCTCCCTCTCCTGTGAGCATTGGGGTGTCTGAACTTAGTAGACCCAGGTAAGCATAGAGCAGGAAGGCCTATACTTTATACATGAACAACTATATTTGGCTTATTCAGAATCTTCTTTAGATGCCATTTAGTGCATCCAAGTATCCGTGTATTTACACAGGTTCTCTACCCGATATTTCAAAATTCAATACTTTAAACAAGCATGTGAGCTGATCGATGTTGATTTGTACAAGTGTTCACCATAAAAGCCTATATCAGCCTGAAAATAAATAAATTACAGGCCTCACAAATGCCGCGCTTATCATTCAAATATACATGTCTGCAGTTGGTATGGGGTTTGAAGTTAATGGGTTTTGTATATGCTAAAAGAAGCACTATCATTCAGGCTCATCAAATTTTCATGTTGATACTGCAAAACTGTAGCTTTTCTAACATAAATTTTTTCACACATGTACATATAAGCCATCTGCTAAAACTTTATTGATAAAACCAGGAACAGCAGGTTTACAAGCTTGGAATGATTTTTCGATTTT